GGAACATCTATATCTCTACGGGTGTGTAACCAAGTACAGGCATGACCAAAAGGGTTGGTTTGGTTAACTAATCCCGATCTTTGCCTTTAAAATGTTTGAAAACCAGCTTAAAAAAGACTGTGACATGACATCATGTCACACGGTCCCACGTGGCCGAAAGAGTGTGGTATGACATCATACCACACGGTCGTCAACGTGTTAAAACCCCTCGATATTCTATTTCCTCTGAACTTATACGTTGAATTTTTCGACATTCATTTTCAATCCAGTTCTTGCAGTTTATTGGGAAAACATTGGATACTTTAAGGTTCTGTTGAATCGTTTGCCCTTCCTAATGTCTTCGTTTACCAACTTATACTGCAGCATGGACGACGCTGGAAAATCGGTCAGTATCACTATTCCACATTAGGGTAGACTCGAAAGGTATAGTTTTATTTCAGGCATTGGGTGAGCTAGGCGCTGCCATGGGTGTTCAAGGTCCTGTTGACGTCGCTCTAGCAAACGCTGTACGAGCCCAAAGTTTACAGGTACTGCAGTGGTGCATTGGTCACAGAATGCTTTTATACGTAGTTTTTATGCAGAACGAATTTGGTATATTCAGATTAACCCTGACGAGCACTACCAGATGAGCTGTTTGCTGTTAGTAGCTATAGCGATTAGCCTACCAAAGCTCGCTCTTATTGAGACAGCAACATATAAACCTAGTCTGCGTGGTAAGTGACTTCCTATTCAAACATTAAAGTCGACAATAATAATATCCTGCAGTGCTCAATTTCAGCAAGTTTGAATAACACTCACTGCATTCCACTGGCTGTGAACACGATTGCGGGAGCGTTGTTTCATCACCATGGGCGAGGTGACACACATTTGAGAATGAAGGAATTCCTCGCGGTTAGTGGACAGCTCAATTGTCGAATCCGTGCCGTGATGAGTGTGTGTAAACAAGTGCAAAAAATAACTTTTTAAGGCCCCACAGTCAAGGAAGTATCTTGCAGTGCTCAATTTCACCAAGTTTGAATAACACTCACTGCATTCCACTGGCTATGAATACGATTGCGGGAGCATTGTTTGATCACCATGGGAGTTATAGTTGTGGTGTATGAAATCTAAGTCGAAGCTTCAGCAGAATCTGGAACTCGCTTTTAGTTTTCATAAGAGAAAAGATTCGGTTGGTCGAGAAAACCCGAAATAATGGTGTAGTGTCAAGTGGCGCTGCTATCACGCGCACGGTTGGGATATCAAATTCTGGGTCGTGCGTCGTTCAGGCCAACCAAGCCTTCCATCCCTCCGGGGTCGGTTAATTGGTACCAGACTTGTCTGGGAGGATAAAAACACTGACTTGTACATCGGCTAGGCCTCCGCAAGTCTTTGTATAGACCGAACGCTTTCATGTTGTCACAGCGATATTGAATTGGAGGGTATGCGTGGCGCATCGTATGTTACAATAATATTCAAGATTGTCAGCTAACTGTTTAGAACAGATGCGTCAAAATTTTATTCTACCCTTAAACCGAGAACAAGAGAAAAGTCAGAGAAAATTTAGTGTACAACTCTCAAATCGAATATAAGACCTTATACATACTTGTCCATGTCGAGCGGATCTGCATTATGCGTCAACAACGATTAAATCTCGAAGATAAATTCGGCTCCCAGTAGTGGGCTGTGGGCCAGAATTCAATTTTTAGTTCTAGCCTTTTGTCTAGGATTCATAAGAAATGTGGCACATTTCATAAGACAAGTCAACTTATCTGACTGATTCTCAGTAAGAGTTCCTTGCTAATGTGGTTCTGGTAAACTTCGTTGGGAAGTTCCGAGTTAACTACGGTACCATAATTCTTTTTACTGTATTTTTTCTATTTTATTTTCAAATTTCAGCTGGCGTCAAGTAGCGTGTTGCGAGCAGCTCAGGAGTTGGATGGACGGCAGGACACTGTGAGCAATCAAGCTACGCTCTACATTCTTCTTGAGCAGGTGCTGTTAATTAATTTTTGTATTAATCATAGATTCGTAGATAGGGATAGTAAAATAATTTCTGGGTAACTAGGTTGTAATCACCTGTATCACCTGTCGTCCCGTTGATCGTCGATTTGCTCGAGCGGGCGCCAGCAACGTCTCCATTCGTCCCTGTCGCGTGCTAGGGTGGTCCAGTGGATCCTCCTTGCTCGAGGGACACGAAGTCCATCATTCCTTTCGTTCAGAGCTTTCGTGAAGAAGTCTGACCATCGGGCCGGCGGTCGTCCAGGTGTTCGTTTGACGTCCCGAGGGATCCAGTCGGTAACCGCTCTGGTCCAACGGTCATCGCAAAATCGCATGACGTGTCCGGCCCACCTTATCTTCGATTCCTTGGCGAAAACGGCAGCGTCCCTGATCTTCGATCGTTGGCGTAGTTCGAACTCCGGATTCCCCTCTGCACTTGCGTGTATAGGGTTACTCCTAGCATCGTCCTCTCGACAGCGCATAACTTCGT